TCCGGGTCAAGAATTTATCGCAGCACGTAAGCGCGGCGGTTGCAATAACTTCAGAACTAAGCAAAAGTCAAAGTTTTCCTAAAAGTTTCTCGCGTGGCAAGGAAGGCTTGCGTAGCTGTGGGGAACACAGAACACAGCAAGTCTTTTGTCACGAATGGAACGATAAACACCGAAATTTACGTAAGAGGGTGTCTCCAAAAATGATTGTTGCCAATCATGATACAACATAAAGTCCCAACTTCCTTTCGGGCAGACTCGGTTTCCTGTCACTACAGTAACAGATCTGTAGAATGGTACCAATTGAGAAAAGTCGTTTTGGTGCCTAGGGAAGTCAACCCACCAAATTGTCCAGAGCTTCGCGCAATCGAACAATATTGGGCTTTGGTAAAAAGAGCTTTAAAAGAAACGGAAATCGAAGCTAAACCCGTACCGGAATTCAAAGTAAAGTGAAATTCTGCTGCCAAAAATACCAAGAAAGCGACCACAAAGTGGATGATAGAAAGGAGTCCAGAAAACAAAAAAAATCTGTCACAACAAATGATTTCAGCTTCTTTTTTTAATTACTCGTAATAAAATAATCTGTAACACGCTTTTTGTTTAATTGGAATTTTGTCAATGGTTCGTATGTTATTAAGGTTTTTGTGTGTAGCGATTTTTTCTGACTCGGTCCATAATAGATGCGAGCCAGCAACTTTTTTTATTGATTTTTATTTAAATGTTTTTATTACTACTTTTTAAATCCAGAAGTTTCATCATTTAGAAACGAACAAGAATTAAACCAAATATTTAAAAGTCGATTTAGATAAAGAGGTGGAACTTTTATTTACTTCCCTGCCCCCCACAAATATTATTATTGTAAAATTTCAATGGCACCCACTACCCAGACCCCAGACACATCATTTTAAAGGGAATAAAATTCTCTATCCAATGCTGGAGGAAAATTAAAATCGGATTGTTGGTTCAAGACTTAAAAGRCAAAATCATGTTAAGACAGAATTTGATAGACGTAATTGACGAAATTTTCGTAGTTGGAACAAATGTTTTTTTAYCTTTTAATGTTTTCTCAAGGCATTGTTTTCTTTTTGTCGTTTTTGTCATTTGCTTTTCATTATTAAATAAATTCACTTTATTTATTTTGATTTAATTTTGATTTGACTTTAATTGATTATTTATTATTAACTACAAAACTACTGTTTAAAGCTAGTACTAATTTACTAAACTTTCTTTAAAAAAGTAAAGAACAATATGTACTATAAACTGGAAACACGTGAAAACATGCTCAATGGCTCATATTAACCATTTTTCATCAGCAATCGCAAACAGTTTTCATATAATTTAGCAATTTTGCATTTGTAAATTTCATTTGTTTGTAACACAATTTRTTTACTTTTTTAAATACTCTCAACACGTATGCTTAAAAATGTTGCATCTGATCTAACCTGATTWYAATACAGTTTAACTRCTTTAAATCTACAAGATGGTTTTAACATTCAAAATATCTGGAAATTTTTARGTTTGATTGMTACAMAATWMGTATTTTTTAATTACAGTTACGATAATTTGTTGTTTTAAAYTTATAATTCTTGTGTWRAATGTTGATAAATTTAAAAGACRCCTGTAGTTTACATATRATATTCTCGATGGTAGGAGATTCSGATTATTCTTGGTAGGAGAGTCCGAATTAGATTTTTTTTATGTTCCCAGACTGAGAACAGTTTTACGTCTATTATTACGCGATCTATTGCAAACTGATAGCGACTAGWCGCTCTTTGCATTATTATGATGATAATCGCTGAAAGAWWTAAAAAAATGCTCATTTAAAAAAAAGCAAAAATATCGATAAAATCTAAAAAAWACCTGTAAAATTAAATCATGGACCCACTGGWATGAAAATTATATTAAGTCTTTTTGTGGGTTTTTTTCCAGATGCATTTTCTGTCACCCGGCCAGATCCAGAAATACGAAMGTATCCTAGACAAAATTGAACATGAACAAGAACAATTCAAACAGTTAACTCAAGAAATTGAAAGAGTCAAAAATGAATTAATAATCCATAAACTATCCAAATTAGAACCATCTCAACAAGTTGGCTATATTAACGTTAAAGTATTCAGCGACATTGTGGAGCTTTTTCATTTGTATGATGATCAAATAAAAGAACCTGCGTCTACTTTCTTTATTCACGAAAATAGTAAGTTTTACTTAATTGAAGTATTTATTACAAATGCGCTTGTTAAAAAGCTGAAAGGTATAAACTGGACTCTTTTTATCTCAGTCAAATACGATAATGTATGTGTGAATAAAACAATTATAATAAAAGAGTGTGATACACCCATTGTTGAGCTGCTGGCTATCGACGAGAATGTTATTGACTGTGAAGTGTCAGCAAGTATTGTATTACCTTCAAAAGATAATTTAATTATTTTATTATTGAGTACTGTAATTGTGGACATTTCATATCATTTCGAAATGGTCAAAAAACCGAAAAATGTCAGCATTGAAAAAATGAATTGTGAAATCGCAAAGAGCTACAATCTTGAACTAAAACTCGAAAGCAACAAACAACGTTTACTAGAATACAAGTTTTTAACGAAAATTGATGGCAAAGAGTTTTTAAAATGGCTCATTCAAAACTGCTATCACAAGATGGATCTGGAACTCTTTTCCGAATTTGCTAATGATTCGAAAACCAATGTCGTTATAAAATTTTCAACGGGGGTTGAAAAGCACTCTGTCACTTTCAATAAAGAGACTAAAGTAGCGACTCTTAGAAGTAACGTTTCGGATTTGAAAAGGTTAAAGATTTATTTCTGGAACGACAATACTGTGGACACAGGGGATCGACCTAAAGTGATGGCAGCTTTAAAGGTAAGGGGATCGATTGCATTTTTTATAAAGCATTTGATTAAACATGCACTCATGGAAACTGGAACACTGTTCATTAACTGATCTGATTGAATACTACGAATATATTGATGTGAAGGGAATTTCTCCATTTTCCTTATCAGATCAGTAATTTTTCAATCAATTTTTTGTGCAAAACGGAATCAAAATATTTAAAAACCGTTTCCCTTTGAACGTGGTCTAAAGTCTAATTGAGATAGTCAGAAGCAAATTTGGTCACAAAGGTTTTGAAATTTTGTTTCTCATTGTAATTTCAGTTTGAAGCTAGTTTTACTATTGAATTTGATACCTACTCGTGTAATTTTATCAGCAAGCCCCGGAATAAACGGATCAAAAAAGTTTGTATTACATTTATTTTAATTTTGTTTTAACTGTGGAAACTTCAGAATTTTCAATTTCATTAAAATATTTATCACTAAAAGCATTTGTATAATTGTCGAAATTTAAAACCTCTTCTATGAACTGTTTTTTTTTATCAGATTGAGTACAAATAAATGTTGCGCAATCAAAGAAACGTTTGCCAATTTTTTTCGGGTGATTTGAGTTAAAATTTAAATATCGTTTGTATGTTTGTATTAAATATAATTTGTATGAGTCTGTTTTCTATATTCCCAACTTACGAAATTGACTAAATTCGTGTTAATTAGTATATCGAGAAAATATTTTTCAATACTGAATTTAACTGTTGGTTCTATGTTGTTCAGATGTGATAAAAATGCATCGTTTTTGTTCCCCAAGACGACTACAAATTGAAAATCCGTACATCATGAATATGTGGCCAGAAAATTATTGGCTTAAATTTGCACTCTTTATCAATCTGTAATATAAGACGTTACGAAATTCTGTCGCTCTTAAAAGTCAAAAATGTTTGATGCGAAACATCGACCAAAAAGTGTAGACAAAAATGATGAATACTTTAAAAATATTGGTATATGTTAATAAGCGTTATTTTACATTTTTTTGAATATCAAATTGATTTGCTTTTATTATTATGACAAAGTTTTTGAGATTCTATGGTTTTGCCACATTAGAGAGTCACCAAAATTTAAACTTTCGATAATTTCAACGTTAAGTCTTATTTGTACTATAATTAAACTAAGTTAAGTGTTTTTAATAGTCTTACTAGTAAACACAATAGTTACAGACTTTTAAACGTTTGAAAAATTACAAACACATAAACTGCATTGAAAAAATATACATCTGTAAGCAAAATGGGGCGTTTAATTTAGCAAATTACGCAAAGTTACTGATGAAACATTATAAACTATTTTTAAGCAAATAAATATTTTGTTGCTCAATTATGTAACGAATATAAAATCGGGCTGAGTCTATCCCACAAAGGTGTTTTAGAAAGTCTAGCTCAATTTATATTTTTAGAAAATTATGGCAGCGTTGAATGCATGTGGGGACATAGAAAAAGCACGCAGTTTATATAATCAGCTAAGAAGTATATGGGCGACAAACTGAAGAAGAAAAATTAAACCTCTAAACACGGAATGCCGAATTAGCCGGACTGCTTTGAAATTTCGGCCGAAATATTTGTATATTTAAAAATACTGCCTCCGGAATGAGAAAAGTTGATTTTTGTGTATTTTGTGTTTGAAATTGAAAAATTTTAGCTAATTTTTAGCAAATAAATCAGTATGTTTTCTAATGTTTAATTAGTGTTTTTTTTTAAACAGGACCTGGCTATTCATAGTATTCTCTATCAGTTCCTTTAAGCGTATAACACATTTTTAAACAACTTTTTGACACAAACGTAAAAAAAATGGTTTGTAAACGGGAACTAAGTAACAATTGTTCAGTACATGGAAAAAAAAATTCCCATTGAGAGTAAAAGCGTTACTATATCAAAAAACCGTATCAATATTCGTCACAATAACGAAAAACTGTTTAAACCACCTTTTAAAACACCCCATTCCGTAAAAGTTGACGGAAGTCGGGTTTCAACCGCCACTACATGTTTCTTTTAAAAAGCCATCGACCGCCTCGGAAGAACCCGATGGTAAATGGTTTTCTTTTAGTAACTGTATAGGAATAGAGCAAAGCTACGCAGTGAACATACGACTTTCCATAAACGCTTCTACATGCTTGGCCAATTTTGATAGGAAGCCTGGCGTAACTTTCAAATAGCCACCTTAGTTCATGCTAGCGCGCTCGCCAAGCATTGCTATCAATCCACATAGCGCTCTGTGCGCTTTTTCAAAATTTCTACATCGTTTTTGTAGCTTTTCCCATTAAAGAATAGTTCGTCTTTTTTATCAGTGCAGTGCCCTTAAGTGATACAACATGACTAGGATTAATATGTTTAGCTTAATTGGATGCTTACTTTATTTACTACATTTCGGTAAGTTTTAATGAAAAAATATTATGCTTGCTGAAATATATTGAGTCAATTGAATCGAAGATAAGGGTTGATGAAAGTTTGATACTACAGGAAAATAAGTGGAATTTTAGAATGTATTTGCAGCCCCGAAGTTCAATAAATCCAGATTCTAAATTAGCGTTTTTCAACGGCACTGCATTAAACTCTTCCTATTATTTCTCAAAATTGAAGCAAAAACGCAATTAAAAACGTTGTTTTAATGAGTGAAGCGCAATCAGTGTGCCATCGCAACCGCTAACTGTTTTTCTTAAATCTTTTAGAAAATCTGCAATTGCCAGTACCTATTTAGTTCCGGCTAGTTAAACGAAATTATGCAGTTAAGTATTCAATTCAACCAACGTGGTTGCCATTTATTTAAGGAAAAAACACTTTTTTCGCAGTGTTTTGGTATGTGGCCAAAAATCAAACACCTTGAACTACTTTAGTGCACTTGCTATAAATACCGAATATTTCATAAAATGGTGATGACATTCTAATCCACTGTCTTTAAACAAATGCAAATTGAGAGATTTACTGATATGTAGCACCTTTCGGCTATTTAAAGTTTTGATTGTTAAACAACAAATGTATGTAAATAAGGGAGCAAATGTACATTTTTTTGGTTCGAACAAGACGAATAAATGCTAATCTTGTGGCACATAAATCAGCTTGTATGTTTAATATAATTTTATATAAAGTATGTAAAATTTCGTTTAGAATAACAAACATTTAATATAAACATTTCTCGCAGACCAATGAGGTAAAAATGGAAAAGAGAACATATGAACTAAATTAAATATTTAATTGTTCTGCTTAGAGAAATAGAGAAATCAAAACGAACAATATGATAGATTGAACAAATATAAACACCAATTTTTTAAGTGAATTTCATATTAAAGCATTTCGGAGATTTTTCAAATTTAGAAAACCCCAAATAATATCGAAAAGTTATTGTCAAATATAATCTGAAATTATTTCTGTACAGAAATATTGAAAAGAATCCAGAAGAAACTATTAGAATAGAATCGAACTATTTAAGAACAAAGTAACAATTTCAAGACTTTCGTACAACGCGTCCAGCAAACAGAATATGCCTGAAAAAGTTTGCAATCGGAAATGACAAAAGTAATTCTATAAATTTTATGGACTTGATAATAAATGATAACAACCTTGGGGAAATAAAAGCAAATTGGAACACAAAAGACTTTTGGCCAGGAAGGTGTCAACTTAAATTATAACTTATATTTGTATCACAAACATAAAAATCCTGTAGTGTCAGTAACGGAAAGAGTCATGTATTATATACATGATATGATTTGAAGTTGAACATCTTTGAATAAAAATTATAATTAAAAATCGAAATTATGAGAACAGAGGAAGCAAAATGTACGATTCAATTGAGAGCGTAATAAGTGGTAAAATATAGATTATTCTCATATATTCTGGAAATTATCTCAAAAACTGCCGAAATATTAAAAGCAGGTAAGTTATGATGGCCTTCACGAAGAATATTTGACTATTGAAAAGGTCATAAAATAAGTTGAGTTTAGAAAACGCCGCAGAAATAATTTTTAATATTTCTAGCCCTGAATATCGGTTTCTCGCATATGATTGATTTTGATAATGACAAAAATTACAGGAAATATTATAAAAGTAAATAACTAACCATTTTTGCCAGGACAGATAAATCTATATCCAGTGTACATGTGTTAAAAATCAATATTAATGCGTTTTTCACACTAAGAAAATCCAAAACGCTTGCACTTGTATAACATGTGGGACCATTGTAATTCATATTCTTGGCTATGATCCATACAAATAAAAATTTTGGCAGCTTTAGATGTTCAAAATCACTTGGTTATTGGCTTTCGGACTAGGATTCGCAATTTGGGAATGATTTGTCACAAAAAAGTACTTGCTTAACCGCAATAGAACTAAGCGTGTTCTGCATAGAAAGGGTTTTCGATTATTGAAAGTTTTGCGATGATGATGAAAATGAGGTACCATTCAACCTGATCGAATGTATCTTAAATTATTCATCAATGTTTTTGCTTACTGCGATATGGCCGAAAAACTTCTGAATGTTGTGGAATATGGTAAATCTTGCCGAGCGTGGCATCAGTTCAATGTTATAGTTTATTTTTAATTGAAATAAATATTTTTTTGGGCTTCCAACTAATTATAATAAAATTAATTTAGTAAATGAGTTTATTTTAGCAACCGTTTTCATCAGAAAATGTAATGTAAAGTACCTATATAATTTCACCTGAAATTATTGGCTGAAGATCAACCATCATAATATTGCAATAAATCCAGTCAAAAATTGCAAAATTTTAATAAAAGTTGATTGATTCGTATTTATCTCAGTTTCACTGTAACGGTGTAACTGACC